GAAGAGCTTAAGATTATATAGCTAATTAGATTCCACTTTAATGACAGTCGATGACTGCTAGCATGATGCCTCCTGACAGTCACAAATCCACAGCCATGGGCAAGTAGAATGTTAGGCCCTACTCTGGATCAGGTGGGCTAGATAAATTTTTTAACACTAAAGTCTCAGGTCAGCTGCCTGTGAAACCATGTACAGCATGCTGTGCATTTATAATAATGGGCACATTCACGACAACAAAGAGGAAAGGTAAGGAGGTCATTCCTAAGCCCATTTGACACCTTCACAGAATATAAATATAGAGGTAGAATAGGGCTGATCAGTAGACAAAAAAATACGAAGGTACTTGCCATATGCTTAGCACCAGTCTAGATGCTTTATAAAATAAATACAACAGGTGGCCAGGCACGTTGGCTCACTTCTGTAATCCCAGCACTGTGAGAGGCCAAGATAGGTGGTTTGCTTGAGCCCAGGAGTTCAAGATTAGCCTGGGCAACATGGCAAGACCTTACCTCCTCTACAAAAAATTTAAAAAATTAGCCAGGCATAGTGGTGCATGCCTGTAGTCCTGGCTACTTGGGAGGCTGAGGCAAGAGGATCGCTCACGCCTAGGAGGTCAAGGCTGCAATGAGCTATGAGCACGCCACTGCACTCCAGCCTGGGTTACAGAGAAAGATTCTGTCTCCAAAAAAAAAAAAAAAAAAAAAAAAAGTAATCCCTTTTCTTAAGGAACCTGGGATTTAATTGCAAAGACTGGTGCACACAGAACAAAAATTTAAGGCAAGAAAGAACCCGGCATTAAATCCTGACCCTTCTTTTCTGATGCTGTTAGCCCTCCCAACCTTGAAACTATCCACTGATTCTTTAACCTACCCTCTCCTCAATTTCTTCCTACATCTTTTCCACACTTTTTTCGAAGCCTCCTGTTTGAGCTCCTCTCCCCTAGATGGTGGTATCCTCCATTCTTGGGCTTCTTTTTTTGTTTTTTTTTTTTTTTTTTTGAGATGGAATCTCGCTCTGTTGCCCAGACTGGAGTGCAGTGGTATGGTCTCGGCTCACTGCAACCTCCGCCTCCCAGGTTCAAGTGATTCTCCTGCCTCAGCCTCCCGAATAGCTGGGACTACAGGTGCATGCTACCATGCCAGGATAATTTTTTGTATTTTTAGTAGAGACAGGGTTTCACTGTGTTAGCCAGGCTGGTCTCGATCTCCCACCTTGGCCTCCCAAAGTGCGGGGATTACAGGCAGAAGCCACTGCTCCTGGCCTCAGGCTTCTTTTTAATCTATACAGTCAGCCTGGTCAAATGATTAGGACTGAACATTTCAAGTACCATCAGTCTGCCAAAGAACCACCAGTTCACAGACCCGACCAGAAAGACACTGCCAGATCCCACAGACATCTCAAAGGCCAGGTACCCAGACTTGCTGCCCTCCCGGTATTTCTAATCTTGGTGAAAGGCAGCACCATCAACCCGGTCGCCCAGCCTGGAACCTCAGGAGTCACCTGTGACCGCTCCTCCTCCCTTACTTCCACATCTAACCAGTCACTGGAACAATTAATTCTTCTCTTACTCTTTATCTCCCCTCTCCCCTCCTCCTTCCTACTCAAGGTCACTCTTGTAGTTCAGACGCCCATTATTTCTTGCCCGAACTATATCTGAGCCTGCAAACTGGTTTCTCTGGCTTTGGTATCATCCCTTCTTCCCCTGAAACTCTCCTCTCTAGCCACTCCCAATCTTTTATCCTCCACACCCGTCACACCAGAATGACCTGTATTTCCCCACGTTCTCTCATCTTCCACATCTTCATGTGGCTTTCCACATGCCTTTCATCTGCATAAACTTCAGGTCCCTTCTCCCTGTTCCTCTATTAAACTTCTATTTATCCTTTAAAACTCAGTAAGACATCATCTCCTGCAGGAAGTTCTGATACCCTCCTACTCACCTTCAGATTCCCCATCCTTTATATGGTGTCTAAATAGTCATTGTCTCAAAAAATATTTAAAAGAAATGAAGTTTCTCTTCATCTCAAAACGAAGTCAGTGGGGCAGGGAATTTATGTGATAAATTCTCATAAAAACAAAAACTGTAGAAAATAGACTTTACATGATTGTAAAGAAATAACTTTGTGTCCTCCATTCAGGACTATGTCCCATCTGAAGTTCCCTGATGGACATGCCATTGGCCACATTCACTGGACAATACCTCTCTCCCTCACCCAGACTTTCACCATGCTCCAGGCAAAGGAGATATTTTCCCCGTGGCCACTTCTTCAGAGCGAACAATAACAATCAACAGGTTAAAAATACAACATATTTCTATGAAGGCTACCACTAAAATCTACACCTCCTAACCTACTGCTTTTGCTGTGGTTTAGTCTCTGCAGCTTCCTGTTAGCTGCTCCTTGGAGACATGAGGACAACACTTACAAACTAACACAGACTGCTTCCTCATCTCTAAGACAGGGACTAGAGGATCTCAAAGGATGCATTGCCCACTAAAAAGTCATTTGGATTCATTCTCTGTCCTAAACTGGCTCCTCTTGGGAATTTCCCTGTCACTGAAAATAGACAAAATACACAAAGGCATAGAGAACAACAGTCTCTATAGCTCCTTGTCCTGCTTCTGACAATGGTGTTATAGGAGGTTGGGGGCAGGGGGAAGGAATCTCCAATGTGTATTTTTAAATATTAGAAATATATCCACAACTGTAAGTCACCTGCAATAATTCAATACAGAAATTCAACTTGTGTTAAATATTCTCTAACCTATAAACATCATACTACCTTTTAAGAGAATGGCATTTCCTTTCATAGCTTATAAATTTACTTCTTTGAAGCTTTAAGGGGTGCCTTTAATTCTAGTACTTCAAGATTCAGACAAAAAAAAATACATATGAGTCCTATCCAGACCTTCAGAAACCCATCATTTTTATATAAGGTGGTTGGGGACTTTGGTTATGTGGTGATGCCCATATTGGCTACATTGCTTATTTGGCAAAACTACCAAATAACTTTAGAGGTTGGTTGGTTTGTTTTGCTCTAAGAACTTGCATGCTTTTATGAAGTTGTCCCCGTATTCTGTTATCAGTTACTGGGTGACTTCATGGAGTCTCCACATTTTACTTCTACATCTGTGGAGAATTCTTCCTTATATTAACCTACAACTCTCTACCTACTACTGGTGAGCAGATAAGTTTCTGGAATATGGGATTGTCCCACTGTAATCCTAGAGTGAGTACTTTGATTTCTAAGCCTTGTTCCGAGCCTGAATACAAAGACAAATTCTACCATACCAAACGAAGAAGCGCCTGTTCAGGCGCAGTGGCTCATGCCTGTAATCCTACCACTTTGGGAGGCTGAGGCAGGAAGACTACCTGAACTCAGGAGCTTGAGACCAGCCTGGGCATCATGGTGAAACCCCGTGTCTACTAAAATACAAAAAGTTAGCCAGGCCAGGTGGCGCGTGCCTGTAATCCAAGCTACTAGGGAGGCTGAGACATGAGAATTGCTTGAACCCAGGAGGCAGAGGTTGCAGAGAGCCGAGATGGCACCACTCCATCCCAGCCTGGGTGACAGAGTGAGAAGCATCTGTCTAGACAATTCTGGAAAACAGAATGGGTTTTCCTAACACAAACCTCAGGCCTTCCAGAAACTGTTTCAGGGCAAATCTCTTCGTTGGCCCTCTTCATTCTACTACTATTATTTTAGTGAGGACTTGTTTCTCAACTGACCAATTTGGATCACAATATGGTATGGTGGTTAAGAGGCTAAATGCCCAGGTTCTAATCTCACTTTCACTAGTTTGTATGGTCTTGGTAAATTACTTAATCCAACTTCTGTTTCCTCATGACTAAAATGGAGCCACTGACAGTACTTACCTCATATAGCTGCTATGAGGATTAAGGGAGGTGGTGACTATAAAGTACTTGGCAGGGTGCCTAGACCAGAGCAGGTGCTTTACAAGTACTATTACTCTCAACAGCTTCCTAGCGGGTCTCCTGACACACAGTTATCACTCTCTGCCAATCCACCTTCCATGCTCCTGTTAGCATACACTTTCACATATATTTCTTGGTTATAAAATACAAATTTCATTGTAGAAAATGCAGAAAACACATAAGGGAACTATCATCCATACTCTGACCATAGAGACAATCCACTGTTGATATATTTTCTCCTAGTCTTTTTTCCATTTTTTAAAACGTAACTGAGAAGATCGTTTATAATTTGTTTCTGCTGTTTTCACCTAAGTATTTTCCTCTAATTTAACAACACAAAGTGTTGTTACCTCCCAGTTTCTGGAGGTCTGGTTTCTCTGATGCTGACAGATGCTTGCACTTTTGCTTACTGCCTTCAAGCGAAGACGTATCCTCTCTAGTGAGGGCTCCTCAGGTCCAAGGAATGCAGGAGAACAGAGGTTTCAGGTCACCCTTGCAGTCTTGACAGGCTTGCTCCTTCTGCCCCATCCTGCAAGCCTGCTCTTTCTGCCCCAAGACTGTGCTTGTGTACTCCTCAGTCTGAAGAGCCTTTTCGCCTCTCCCCATCTGTGTTCACTACAGTTTTCAAAACCCAGCTCTAAACAAGTTTCCTAGATAAAACATGACCTCCCATGATGACAACCCAGCCTGGAGCTACAGTGCACTCCTACAGTTTTGCCACTTCCATACAACAGCATGGGCCTTGGAGGTAAAAGGCACTCGGCACACACTGGTTGAGTGGGTAACAAAATACTTTATTGTCTATCTTTTTGTTTGTTTCTTAAGTAAACCATAGGCTGGGCACAGTGGTTCATGACTATAATCCCAGCACTTGGCGAGGCTGAGAAGAGAGGATCGTTTGAGCCCAGGAGTTTGAGACAAGCCTGGGCAACACAGTGAGACTTTGTCTCTACAAAAAATATTTTTAAATCAGCCAAGTATGGTAGTATGCGCCTGTAATTCCAGCTACTCAGGAGACTGAGGTGGGAAGACCGCTTGAGCCCAAGAAGTAGAGGCTGCAGCGAGCAGAGATTGTGCCACTGCATTCCAACCCGGGCAACAGAGTGAGACTTTGTCTTAAAAAAAAAAAAACAAACAAGCAAACAAAAAACAAAGTAAACCACAAAGTCCTTCAGCGATGAACCATGTCTCTTAATTTTATCCTTGCTGGTAGTTATACATGGCTAGGTAATTAATAAATGATGAACAGTCAACTTTTTTTTTCCTTTACTAAGGTACGGTTTTACTTTTCTTGCCTTATTGAACTTGATAGGCTTGATAACAGCTGACACTCTTGTGCCAACACAGCTCTAAGTGCTTTACACACAGTAACTAATTTCATCCTTACAACAGCCGCCGTGAGGTAGGTACTATTATCATTTTCATTGTACATATGAGGAAGCAGAAACCCTGATGGGTTATGTAAAATGCACAAGCACTCCCAGCTAGTAAGTGATGGAGTTGGGATGCAAATTTAAAAACTAGTTTGACCACATGATATAATTAAATTCAACAATTAAAATATTTACTAAGGATCAACTATGTCTTAAAACACTAGGCAAGAAAATTTCCCACATTGCAGAAGGAGAAACGAGGTGCTAAACACAGGCGGGTGGGACAGACACATACACACACGGAGAAAAGGGTAGGCAGACCCCATGATCAGAGTAAGTTTCCCCTGTATGCTGCTAAATAAGAGGGCCCTAGAAGTCATGTCATTATTAGTCATATCTAAGAATGGATAGGGCCAGTGGGAACTACAATCTCAGGGCATGTCTGTGAGTGCCTGACAGCATATCAGTTCACCACCAGGTATGAACCCTGGGGCCAGCTTTTCCCTCTTCTGCACATGACTCCTTGTCACCCACCCCTCTGCCTCATAACCCAGGAGTCGGGGGGTGGCTGTAGCAGGCAGAACAGCCAAGCTCCTCCTCACTGACCGGGAGACAACATCCCAACAAGTCCATGACTTACTTGATATTTACATATTTTCACAAGTAGGGAAGAAGGCCTTTTCCCAAGGCCCATCTGTGTATCATAAAAAGACAAGAATTCAATATGCTCATCGCCAGCATCACCGTGTTTTCTGTCAACATCTGAAACATACATATCTTTTACAGAACACTCCATAAACAGAGCGTGGGAACCAAGTGGAGGGACCTGGAGCTTACCACTGCCTCAGGGGCCTCCCAGAGATAGCACACTTAGAAGGGAGTGTTCCTCAGCGGCCTGCACCCTTCTCTCATTCCAGAAGGCAAGACTCTGAAGTTGACTCAACTCCTTAGTGCTCTCTTACACATAGCACAGCCTCAACCATGACTTGCATGCTAACTACATCCAAACGTGTAACTCAGACCCTGACCTGGTCTCCTGGCCCCTTCAGATGCAGCTCATCCAAAGGAAACTCACTTCCTGTCCTCCCAATCCATGTTCTCAGTGAACGCCACCATCCCAGGCAGAGGCCTGCAGTGTCTCATCCCCTCCTCCCACAAGACTTCCTCCGGAGACCTTCCAACCCCTCCCTCTGCCACCGGCTGTTTCATGCCAGGCCCTTGTCATTTCTTGCCTGGCTCATGACAGCAGCTTTCTTAACAGCTATGCCTCGCCTCCTCAACCCCTCAAAGCTTTCCTCCCCACCACAAGCCAGAAGTCTTTCAAAAGCACGAGGTGACAGGGCATTCCTTGCTTTAAAATCCTCAGGAGCTCACTACTACCTGTGGGGTCAAGTCAAACACTCGGCCTTGGCTCCCTGGGCCCTATACAGTCTGGCCCCTGACCATCCTCCCCACCCACCAAGCCACCTTTTGTTCATCCCCACATATACCCAACCCCTTTTGCTCCTGCATGACCAAGAAGAGACCAAGTAAGTCCTACTCCCTCATAGCCACTAAGCTGTTGCCCAAGCTGTCCCCCTCTTCTTAGAATGTGTCCTTCCATCTGATGGCTCTGCAGGGCTCAGCACAAACACTACCTCCTACAGGAAGTCCTCTATTATGCCTTCGCCTCCATTTGTGTATCAAAGCAGCCTATGCCCACCTCTACCAACGTGGCATATCCCAACGTATCACACTGGTTTCTTTCAATGTCTTTTCCACTAGGCTATGAGCTCATTTCTGTGTTCCCAGAACTCAGTGTGGCAGTTGGCACAAAATAAATGTTTGGCAAATGAAAGAGCCTAGAAAACGTAGCTCACCAGGCCACAGCCCTTTCTCTGCCCTTCCCTGATACCCAGGCGGACTTACCGACGCAATCGCAGGTAGGGAACTCGGCCTGGGCTCTCTTGGCAGGTGTGTCCAGCAGACTCTTGGTGGGTGTGTCCAGGTACTTAAGAGGTGACTCCAAGAAGCCACTGAGGGTAGGTGTGAGTGGGTTCTCAGCCTTGGTGGGTGTGGCCTCCTGGCCTCCCTCTTCTGAATGGAAGCAGGTGGTTGAGAGCACAGTCACAGCCCCTGAAGACTCAATCTTGATTTGCTTGGGGGAACGGGTGGCAAAAGGGCTCTCAGGGGCTGGGAGACATGTTTGCTGGTTCTCAGGGTCCTGAATGGGCACAGAAGGGGGGCCGGGAAGCCCAAAGCTATCTCCAAATTCAGCCTCAAACTGCCGGATAAGCTCTTCCAGCTTGTCATCGGCAGGGGGAAGAGGGCCGGTGGAGCCTGGCTGCAAGGTTGTCATGGGGCTGGGGGACCTCATTTCCTGAGTAGGGGGCAGCAGGCTGTCCCTGGAGGGACTAGGTGCAAATAGCGCAAGAGAAGGTTCTGGGGGCAGGGGCACAGCAGAGCCCTGTGAGGCAGGCAGAGGGGCCGGTGGATGAGCCTGCGCTTCCTCGGAGGCCGGGGACCTGAGCCCTTCTAGGACAATCTGCCGGACAGGTGGGAAGAGGGGCTGTGCTTCCCGGGGCCTGGATTTCTTGATCTGAATGGGCTTTCGGACACTAGGCTTGATCCCAGGGGCAGCTTTCTCCGTTCCCAAGGGACCTCCAGCTGGTGTTGGGAGCTTCTTCTTCTTCTCCTTGGGTGGTCTGTCTGGAAGCCGTGGGGCAGGTGAGCTTGGTGGGGGCCACCAGCCAGGAGCAGAAGGCTCCGAAGGAGCAGGGAAGGAGGTGTCATGTGTCTGTTCTAGGAAGAGGCTACGCTTGTGGTGGAGGTGCTGCTGCAGGGCGGTCTGGGCCTTCTGATGGGTGTCGGGCTCCAAGGATGGCATGGGAGCCTCCCTCTGAAGTACGGGGGATGGGGCCGGGGCTGGGGAGGAAGAGGGTGCCTCCACCTTGACCTTGGGCTTGGTAGGCAGGGCCTCAGGCCGCTTGAATACTGACTGGATGTAATCACTGGCACTGCCTAACAGCTGCTCCAGTTCAGCCATGGGGTCGGGGCTTGGGCGAGGCATGGGCCAGGAGTTCCGGGGTGTTGCTGTAGGGGTGTCGGTGCCCCAGGCTTCAGGGAACTCAGTTCTAGGAGTTGCCGGAGGGAAGGCAGAGCTATCAGGAGCAAAAGATGAGTGCTCTTCAGGGGGAACCACAGGCCATGAGGGAGTCCGGAGGTAAGACTGGGGAGATCTGAAAGGGGCAGGAGGTGACAAGGCCTCAGGAAGGGGGCAGGAAGACTGGGGGGTGGAATGAGAAGGCTGCGGGAGGGCGGAGGAGAGCTGTGTGAGGGCCTCGATGGCAATGGCGGTCTGCAAGCTGATGTTTTTTTCCTTGGCGATGCTCAGGGCACTCTGGGACAGGGGCAGGCCCTCTGGGGGAGAGATCTGGGGCACCTCAGAGCTGAGGAGTGGCCTGGTGCTTGGTGCTGGGAGGCTGGCCTCACCAGGAGGCAGAGGCCCTGGGAGCCTGGGCCGCTCCTCCCCTCCTTCCATGACCACAGACTTGATCTTCCCCTCCAGCCACTCGAGGTAGTCAGGGCATTCTGGGCCATCGCAGTTGCAGTTGGGTGGTTTCATGCCATGCCGCGCGAGGGCCAGGGCCGTCTGCAATGTGTCAAGGTCTTCGCTGCCAGCAGAGCAGCCCTCGGGCCCTGGCCGGGGTCCCCTGCTGTTGTTCCCAGCCTCACGACTCATCTCACGGTTGAAGGTTTCATAGAGCCGGGTGCTAAGGACCCCATAAGAGGATACAGCTTCGGCCACAGCCGAAAAGGCCACCAGATCGTGGGCATCTTCCAGGCGAGCAGTATGAGCTGGGCCTGGGGCAGCCTCCCAGTCGGGCTTTTGGTCTACCCGCCAAGGACCCCCAGTCCCCAGTAGACTGGGTCCAGCGGGTTCTCTAGCACCATTGACCGGCACCCCTGAGGCGCTTAGCTGCCGTGAGTCCCCATGGTACACTGGCCCTGAGTCCATCTGACCTGGAACAGGTCCATCAACTGGGCTGAGCTCTGAGCCTGTCTAAAGAGAGAGAGAGGGGGGAAAAAGGAAAAAAATGAACCACACTATTTGAAAAGCATTTCCCTGCTTCATACCACTCAGGAATCACATCTGACCCCCAACTTTTCTCACAAATCCTCTCTCTGGTACTTCTTCAGCCTCCAGTTCATCTTCCCATGTCTCTGGTTCCCTAGCGAGCTCCACCAGCAGAAATAAAAAGATCTTTAAGATACTTTTAAAGAGAAGATCCTAATGTGACATTCTTAGTGTTGCTCAGAAACTTTCAGAGCCTCAGATCAATCACACGAATCAGGCTCTCCTAAAACCAGGGAAACACAAAAAGATCCTTAATTCACAATGATTAAAGTCACACTGGACTTTGTTTTTTGTCAAGATGAAAAGAAATCCAACCAAGCCTGTGTGTACACATGTGCTCTAAGAATGAAGTGTAGGTTTGTCCGGGTAGGGAAAGAAGAACTTTGATTAACAAATTCAGCCTAGGCCAGGGTCAGCCATGGCTTCCTAGTGGGAACCCATAGTTCTTTTCTTCCCCTAAAACTGTCCTCACTTAAGCCCAGGCTGAGCACGGAAAGCTGGCAACAGACCACATTCCCACACGCAGCCCCAGGCCTGAGGGAAACACTGATGATCTGACACAGCATGCATTTAGCCCCATGCCGGGTCAGTCATGCCAAAGACAAGCAAGTTGCTGCTTAGAGAAGGATCCAAGTCTCTCCCTGAGCCCAGGAATGACCACTACATACCTCATACCCACAAAAGCACACCAAAGGAGGAAGATGAGAGGAAAAGGGCCAGGAGGGCCCAGCCCAGCAAGTTCAAAGTGAATACAAAGATGGGAAATTGAGTTTGCAGACCCATCCCTGAGGAGAGGAAAGCTCTCCCTTACTATAGAATGCTAAGAGAAATTACAGAAGAATTGAGGGATTTAGAAAGTCACCAGTGGAAGCAGGTGAAAGCTTGATAAGGTACAGGATGTATGCATGGTCTTAATGCATCTCCTCGAAAATTACATGAGTACAATAGTAACTGTAGTGGAGAGATCTGGTAGACATCACCTTAACCCAAATGACAGTTATCACCACCAATACTAAGACAAACCAACACCATATGCCTCTTGATGTAAGACATTGCGAATAACTTAATACTACTCACACAGAACTCCTGCCAAAATGTATAACCTGAATCTAATCATGAGGAAACATCACATAAACCCAAATTAAAGGGTATTCTAGAAAGTACCTGGGTTGTTCTCTTCAAAAAAGTTCAAAGTCAAGAAAAACAATCTCTTCTAGCTTACATAGACCAAAAAGAACAGCTAAATGCGTGTTCATGGGTTAGACCTTAGACTGGGGAAAAACAGCACTATTTTTACTTGGGACAACTCATGAAATGTGAATATGGACGTGGGTAAGATAATATTCTGTCATTCCTAATCTTGACTTGGATCATTAGACAATGAGTTACATAAGAGAGTGCCCTTGTTCTCAAGATACACATACTGAAGTATTTAGAAGTAAAGGGACAGTACAGACAGTCCACAACTTACGATGGTTCCACTTAAGATTCTGACTTTGTGACATGCATTCAATAGAAACCATACTTTGAATTTTAATCTTTTCTGAGGCTAGTGATACTTTTGCGACGCTGGGCAGTGGCAGCAAGCCACAGCCCTGGGTCAACCACGCAATCACCAAGGTAAACAACTGAGGCTCCACAGTGTTCTGTGTTTTAACACATATTGTGCTGTGTTTTAAAATCTCATCATGTCTATAAAATGCCCATTTTGTTTGTTTGTTCGTTTTTTGAGATGGCGTCTGGCTCTGCCACCTAGGCTGGAGTGCAGTGGCGCAACCTCGGCCACTGCAACTTCCGTCTCCCAGGTTCCAGCAATTCTCCTGCCTCGGCCTCCCAAGTAGCTGAGATTACAGGTGCCTGCCACCACGCCCAGCTAATTTTTGTATTTTTGTAGAGATGGGGTTTCACTGAATTAGCCAGGCTGGTCTGAAACTCCTGACCTTAGGTTACCTGCCCATCTCAGCCTCCCAAAGTGCTGGGATTACAGGAATGCGCTTGGCTAAAATGCCCATTTTTGACTTACAATACTTTCAATTTATGATTAGTTTATTGGGACGTAACTCAGTCATAAGTTGAGGAACATTGTGTACTCAATCTCAAATGGTTCAGAAAAGAACTATATGCATATGTAAAAAATATGTATATATAGACAAAATAATAAGTAAATGAGGCAAAACCTACAAATTTGGGGTATGTGGGAGTCCCAAGTATGATGCCTGCTATTTTTCTATACATTTTTAAATTCTGTAAAAATAAAAAGCTAAAAAAGAAATCAGTCCTTCAGGTAGAACACAAAGTGTTTTATTTATTTATTTTAGAGACACACTCTCACCCAGGCCAGAGTTCAGTGGCATGATCATAATTCACTGCAGCCTTGAACTCCTGGACTCAAGCAATCCTCTCACCTCAGTCTATCAAGTAGCTGAGACTTCATGCATGTACCACGCCCAGCTAATTTTTTTTTTTTTTTTAAAGAGCCAGAGTCTTGCTATGTTGCCCCAGGCTGATATCTAACTTCTGGCCTCAAATGATCCTCTTGCCTTAGCCTGCTAAAGTGTCGGGATTATAGGTGCGAGACACTGTGTCTGGCCTCAAAGTGTTTTAAATAGGTGGCTAAAATGATGCCACTCCTAAAACTGTCAAGACAAGACCATCATGGGCTCCTAAATGTGGTGGGAAACCAGGGTTTGGGATGAGTTCCGTGGGAGGCTGGCAGAGGCCCCAGCCTGTAGTTCCTGCCTCATCCTCATCCCTGCCCCCATTCTGGCCACAAAAGACCCTCATGCTTTTCTAACAGGCCATGTTCTCTGACGTCGCTAGGCTTTGTACACGCAGTTCTCATTGCCTGGAATGCCCTTCTTAGCCTCTTAGAGCAGCCTCTCTGGCTTATCCTTCAAGCATCAGCTCAGTGTCACCTCCTCCCCTACCTACTTCACAGAATTATCTGTGGCTCCTTCCCTGGGTTCTCAGGGCACGTCTATTAGCACTTATCACATGCCACTACTGTTATTTGTTCAAGCAGCTGCCTCCCTTCCCCACTGGATGGTGGCTCCTGCCAGGCAGGGTCCAAATCTCAACGACTCCTGTGCTTCCTGCCCATAGCTGGAGCAGCAACACTCAGGCAAATGAAGGCCCTGCCATCCCCACTGGCCATGGAATATAACAGCCTTTCCCTGGCCCCAGTGGAAGACTGCCTTTCAGAAGTCTAGGAATGTGGCGGGGATCACCCAGAACTCTGTTCTTTCTTAGAAGCCTAAACGAATGTGGCTCAGGAGGCTCTACAGTCTGAAGTGGTCAAATCTCACATGCACCTGCATAAAAGATGGAGGGGGCATACACAGCCAAGAAGAAACACCAGAGAGTAGCATGGATTTACGAAAGTGTCAGGAAGACTAATGCTACACGAGAGGAGGCTTCCCCAAAATGGTCAGGACAACTAAAAGAGATTCAAAAAGTTATTTTTGGTGTGTGAATAAGAACAACGAAGGGCTAGGATGGCTCTTGTGCCTCTGAATTCCCTGGGAAGGAAAATGCTTCTCGGACCAAAAAGAGGAAAAAGGGGAAACTAGACACAGATAAGAGGTAAGTGAAGCCAGCATGGATGGGGAGATCTTAAGAAACTCTAAATTCCCATTTCCCAACCAAAGGATCCCACTGACACCTTTCTCAACAGCTGTCAGTGATGCCAGAGGAAACCTGCCAGCAGGAGACGGGGCCAACAGGCAAGAGAAAGAGACGCGTCCTTCCCTGCTCACAGTCTGCTGCATTTAAGAACAGCTCAGGTAAGAACCTCAAGGAGTCAGGTTCCACAGAAGGCCATTAACCTACCAACATCCAAACAATCTTAGTGCTTTGAGTCATGGGGTCACTAGACCAGCAGATGAGGAGATACTGTGGCTGACAGGTCACAAAGCTGAGAGCTTCAGGCCAAATCTGCCCCAAGTTTGTTTTAGTTGCCTATATGGTGTTAATGTTTTGTTTTTTGAGATGGAATCTTGCTCTGTTGACCAGGTTGGAGTGCAATGGCACAATCTCAGCTCACTGCAACCTCCACCTCCTGGGTTCAAGTGAGTCTCCTGCCTCAGTCTGAGTAAGGGACTACAGGCACGCACCACCATGCCCCACTAGTTTTTTGTATTTTAGTAGAGACGGGGTTTCACCATGTTGGCCAGGATGGTCTTGATCTCCTGACGTTGTGATCCATCCACCTCAGCCTCCCAAGTGCTGGAATTACAGGCGTGAGCCACTGCACCCGGCCAGTGTTAACGTTTTGGTTTTCCCAACATTCGAAAATCAAATTCCACATGAAACCTGATTTTCTTGAAGGTCCACACTTCTATGGGCAAATCTGTAACTGAGCAGGCTACTGCTTCCATAGAATACAACTACTCCAACTCACCCCCAGCTTTCCCGCTCCACACTGCCTTCTTGAAACCAAGGCCGGGGTCAGGAATTACTTATTAATTGCTTGAATTAATTATCACTTCATTCACTTGTGTTACCTGCCAACTTTCTGTAGGCCTTTGACTTTGCAACTTTGGCTGTCTGTGTTCAAGTTTCACAAAGTCTGCCATTACACTTTCGAGGCCAGCTACAGAGAATGACAGGCTGAAGGGCTGGTTCGCCACTGTGAAATGACCATGCTCAAAGGGTACAAGAGGTGTATCAACTTAGTGGCCTGCCACAGGGCTCTGTTCTTGGAACTATCTTGTTCAATATATTTATCAATAATGATAGAGAAGGCACACTTAATAAATAAGTAGATGTTGAAAATAGAAGGGATAAAGCTATGTTGAGTGACAGAACCAGGTGCCAAAAGGTCAACAGACTAAAGAGAAAAAAATCTAAAAGGGTGAACCAGGTCTCACAAACTCCAAACCACACCTGTGCGAATAAATTAAAGATGGGAGAAGCACATAATAGCAGCAGCAGTATCCATAAAAATATCTTAGCAATCAGGAGAGGTAAAACCCTGAGAGCTAAATGACAGCACACCCAGTATGATGTGATGTGGCAGCTTCAAAGGATCTTACAACCCAGTTTTTTTTTTTCCAAAAAATTTCACTGCAATCCACAGTAAGAAATACATTTTACACTGTGATCCTTTAGCTACTTATATATGGCAAGTTTCGTAAAACAGTACTTTCCCTTAATAGATACATTAATGCATCTTTCTTCTTTATTTCTGAATGCAAGTTACAACTTTCCAAATTGACTTTGGGGTCTACTAATGGGTCCTGACCCACAGTCTGACACACACAGCTGCGACCTGACCTGAACAGGACTACAGCACAGGCAGTGACAGCCCTGCTGTGCTTGGCAGTCCCCGCCTGAACGCAGACTTCCCTGTGGGGCTGTACCCTCTGGGCACAGAGGAAGGCGAGCACGATGGTTCAAAACCACAAGAGGAACAGCTCCCTTTTGGCTCTGAAGGAGATAAAACTCCAGAAAGTCCTTCAACATCTGAAGGCCTACTGTTTGTAAAAAGAATTAGACTTGTTTTGGGTGGCCTTAAGGCATGGAATTAGAAAATGGGTAATGAGAGAGAAAAGTTTAGGTTCTATTTAGGGAAAAGTTTGCTTCATACTTAGAGATACTAGAAAATGCACTGAATCCCATCCCCCTAGCAACCAGAGGAAACAAGTTCTTATCAGTGGAGATGCTGACAAGAAAAGCAAGCAGCTATTTGGCAATTATCGGCAGGGAGGCGGGACAATGCCAGAGGAGGATGGGGACCAGTTTAGGCCCTTTCAAAGCCTCAGCTTAGACCAGTCCCAGCTCAGAAACCCTCCACTTTACCCCTCAATTCTCATTTCCCTCTGGGCTCCAGCAAACATCACTGTGAGGTGTTCCTTTTTTTGAGACAGGGTCTTGCTCTGTTGCCTAGGCTGCAGTGCAGTTGCGCGATCATGGCTTAGTGCAGCCTCAACTGATTCTCCCACCTCAGCCTCCCAAGTAGCTGGGACCACAGGTGTGTACCATCATGCCCAGCTGATTTTATTTTTAGTAGAGACAAGGTCTTGCTATGTCGTCCAGGCTGATGTCAAACTGCTGAGCTCAAGCAATTTTCCTGCCTCAGCCTCCCAAAGTGCTGGGATTACAGATGTGAGAAACAAACCCCAGCCTAAATGTCTGCTTTCTCTCAGAACTTCTCAACCACCCCCCAGCTAGCTTCAACCCCTAGACCGTTCTACAAGCCCACTGAGAGTCAGCTTGTCTAAAACAGAACTGAACTCTCCCTCCTGATAGCTCCTTTCCCAACTTTCCCATTTTTGCATTCATGAACATTCCAAATCCAAATGTTACTCATATTCTTCCAATGTGTGCAGAATATGTGGATCAAATAGATCCAAACAATTCTAAATGTGAACTGTCTCTCAATTTTATCTCCTCCCTTTCCATCCCTGCCTTCCTAATCTGGGTCTTTCTGTGTATACCTTTTAATTGCCTCACCTGACCGTGGGTCCTTTAAGCAACTCTGTGTATCCCCAAGCCCCCTCCCTGTCCACACATACATGTGCATGTGCATGCACGCGCGCGCGCACACACACACACACACACACACACACAAACACACACTGTTCTCCACTGTACAATCTCTTCAACATACCCTCTCGAGACTCCCAGCCACCAATTTCATAACTCTTCCTCATAGTCCACCCTGGCTTCAATCTGCAGTTTAAGAATGCCATTCGTATGCCTCAAGTGCTTAATATGTGTGACAGACTGTGTCCCCCAAAGACAGCTACAACATTCTCTCCAGCCCACATGCTCTTCTTACTGTGCGACTTGGACA